ATCTGCCAAAGTTAGTTTGTGTGTCATGCTTTGTAGACCCTGAGTGCCTGGTGGCTGAGCTTCGAGTGTTGTCACTTATAGTACTTTGCGTGATAGCGTCACTACACCAGCTACCAGTGTGACTTGGCACAGTATGCGAGTAGGTTGTGTCGTTGTTGCCCTTGGACTTTATGTCCCTATTTTTGTTTGTAGTTTGATTGCTAGCATAGTTTTGAATATTATTTACCTTAATGCGTGAGTTATTCTTGGGAGTCTGAATATTTTAGGGATTCTTCGCAACAAGTGGCGTATTTCGGCATGTTTTGTTACCGAGCTCCATTTGCGTTGTCACGTTTTGGTTAAGAGAGGATGTTGTCAGCTTACAAGAGGGATTGATTACCATCTTATGGCTGTCCATAGACATATCTAGATCCACCGTAGAGGGAGGAGAGGTTACTTTAGGAGTAAGACTATAGCTCACAAGTCTTTCGTTTGGTTTCGTTTTCTTTGGGGCTATTTTTTTGAGATTGGAGAGGGGGGAGGCTATGAGTTCTACCGTGTTGGTAGTGCGTATATCTATTTCAGTGGCTTCAGGTGTCTTGCCATTTGGTTTATTAAGGTGATTGTAAGCACGCCTTTCAATCACTGTCTTATCTGCTACAACTTTTATTTGTTTGTAGCTTGTGTCCTGTAATGGGATGCGTTGTGTGTTGGTGAATTTTTTAGCCTCCGTCTGCGTTACGAACTGAAGGCGTATAGGACAGCAGTGGTCGTGCTGACTCTTCTTCAGTCTGTGACATTTTGTTTGGGAGTTAGGCATTTTCGCCGCCCTAAATAAGATGCTTTGAACCTTTTTCAACCCCTCATTATCTGGTATATTGTAGACAATCACACTTAGTTTAGTATCGATTCTTTTGATAACCTCTGTTGTGATGAAGTTTATCAAGGTGTCTACCTTAGTTACTGATTCTGTGTCAAGTTCGCCAGGGTTATTGGTCTTAGTCAAGGTGTTTAGAGGGGCAGGTTCACAGACCTGTGATTTTATATCACTAATCTGTGTTGATAGTTCAGATAAGTTGGCCAAATTTTCTGAAAATCCTGCATTCATAACTTTACTACATCTTATGTCCCGCATCTCATTCTTCAGTTCTTCTGCAGACAGCTTTAGTCGTTCTATTTCTGAAGTAAGTGTTGGAGCTGGACTTGGTATCTGAAGTTTTGTGACACGTACATAGGGTGAAGTGAAGAGGCTTATGCCAGGACCAAGTGCTGAGTTTGTAGAAGCGATGCTACTGCTGTTTGTCAGCAAGTTTTCGCCCTCAGTTTCAGCCACAGTAGATGGTAGTGAACCGGCAGCTCGACGCTTGCAGCGTATTGGCAAGCTGTGCACCTCATTTCCATTCTTCGTGGGAGTTGTGCTGCTCGTTGTTGCGAGCATATTTGTGCTATTAGTCATCACGTTGACAGGTGACTGAGTTCGTGGCTTTTTTGTATGACTAACCATAACTAATTAGTGAAAGAGTTATTAGTTAAATTTATGGAACTGGAGAAACACTTGTGCGAGTCTCACAGCAAAAATAGAAATATATAGCGAGTCAAGCTAAAATGTAACGCAAACGTTGAACGTACCGCGTATATATGCGGACATCCTGAGAACCTTCTTGGTGAAAATATCGTCTCCTAGTCGAAAAAATGAATATATCCTAATCTCCACAAAAGCGTCTAGAGTTATTCATCCTATCACCTCAAATGACTCACTATTTGCAGTCACTTCAAAAGTAAGAATAAATTTACCGAAGACAGTGTGCTCATAATTTCTAGATATCATAATTTGCCATGAGGGAAAACCTATATCCATAGGGTTATAACAGTTAGAAGCGCGATATTAATCCAAAACACGACGACTACGATTCTCAATCACAGAACATCCTACTTTGCTACCTAATTTTCTAATCGTATTAACAGATGTTTCGCCAAGAAAAAGAAAACCAATGGTTTTAGGAAAATTTATTTAGAGATCATGGTCATCTGTATTTATGGCCACGGAGAAATCACAAACATCCAAAGATTAGGAATTTCATTATTTGAAATGAAACAAGCAATCTGTATTCAGCCAATATTTTCACCAAGAATAATAGTCAGCTTGTAACCACAACCCGAAACGTTATTCATGCTAATTAAAGTCTTACCTTTAACTGGGATAGTTCGTACACTCAGCATATCACCATGTTATCTGCTTTATTAAGTCGTTTTGCAACACACTGAATGGCTGTTAACACTGGCTTTGCTACAGGCGGTCCCACTTCATGTATATGAATCTAGTACATTGGGCATTATTAAACATAGGCAACACTTACCATTTAAGGGTTTCTGATTGCCTTCAAGTTTCTTTTAGTTCCAAAACTGCGTACAACTGATTCACACATCTCATGTGGCCAAACCTTGTTTGATTTGGATTCCCTCACAATGTATCTGGTTTTTTAACTGATAATATACACTGATGGTATACTCAGATTCTCGAAAAGCTTCAAAGGTTTTTCAAAACACGTTCTGAAATCTCCAGGTTTAATATGCTCTTCGAAAACTTTGCCAATATCAACCCTGATCGCATTCTCCTCATCAGATTGACTCGTAGATTACTGCATGTTGTAAACATGAATGTGGAAAACATTGTTTTTTCCAGATTTCTAAATACTAAGTAACCACTTACGCCAGTAAATATGCTAGCATCAACTTTTCTAACACCTTCAAACATTCTGTTCACTTTTGGCTTTGCAACCGATATGCTAATATGTTATTGTCAAAACTAACTGGGATTACCCATAATCTAAGTAGAATTTCATTTATTACTAATGTACAACCTGGATGCAATACTGTAGTGAAATGCTGAGAATTCCATTCTGTATCACAATACTGTTTTGGAATAAAGCAGATTATTATTGTTATTATTATTATCCTGCATGAAATAGCACATCATCATTTCTCGCGCATCCTGTGATTGGCTATACGATCAATTATTTCAAACGCTGTTAGCCATCTTGATTGTTGTGAAAATGTATAAATACCATGTGTTGTTTTCCTAATAATTGTTGTTGTTATTACGATATACAGTCATAGGCCAGCCTTTGGCTTATGATGTTTGCGTGGCTCAGTGAATCGGAAGGCACAATGGGTGAGTAGGCATACTAGCAGGCGCAGACATAACAAGGTGACTACGGTTCTCATTCAATTCAGTGAGGTTTCAATGCATTCACTTGAGTCAACCTAGATGATGGGAGATCTTCCTGTGTATTGCGAGTATTATCTAGGTAAAAGTCTATGTTTACGTAGCATTTAGGTAAGCTATCATTTCTCTTGACGCATACAAAAGAAATGATATCAGATTGTAATGAGGCTATATGTATGTTCGAACCTTCTGACTGACAGTTTCGATCAGGGCATTTAGGTAGTGGGGATTCAACCACATCAAAAGAAATGGTGTCAGATCTTCTACTGAGATCCAGTGTGGCTTGGTGGGTATCCACAATACTTGTCTCTGACTCTAGCACCTGTGTCAACAAAGACCCATGCTCTGTTGACTACATCGCGAATGCAGAGTGGGCAGCTTTTGCCATTTGCGAGGGTTGTTGCTGAAGTATGCAGGCGGGATGGTTCTGCATAATCTTGGAGTCTTTTCCAAAATTACTTGGTTTTCAGCAACATGTTGTTTCCCGACCATAGGTGTTGTGATACTGACACCGGTCAATAACAACACTTCGGAGTATCACAAGCACAGTTTGTGCTGACCATTGCAACTTAGACAGGAGCGACTGTCTAAAAAGTCACTCATCAAAATAACTTCTGGTCAATAACTTCCCACATTCGTGTTTGAATGTTCACTGCCGATTGATTACCTAACTCGACATTGCGAAATAGTTCGTCAAAAATGTCGACACATGGGATTTTTTCCATTAGGAAGAGCATCTCAAAGGGGTGCTTCTGGGCTAGATATTTGTACAATTACGCATTTGCTTAATTCCTGTGACAGAGCGTGGATAACTGCAAGGAACTGTGGGCGTTGGTCAGCGAACCCATTTTAAGTAAAGTCAGACCCGGCTATCAGGAACCATGCTTCCTGACTGTCTGACCAAAGCGGCACGAGCTGAGTAGTGTTGCTAGTTGGTCGGATGCGGATGAGTATAGGCGTAAGGTCACTCAATAAATTTTTAAAATATAGTATATGTAACCTAAGAACAAATACAATGTAGAACTAACTCAATGGATTCGCCTGCATGTTTACCAAAGATGGAATTTGTGATGGGGCTCACTGGCTTAGAGGCAGACGGTGTTGACGTTCACGGATAGTATATGCTAACACTAAATCTTATGAATAACAACCTACAGAGCATTCGTTCCACGTAGACCAAAGGCAAAGCAAAACACCAAAATTGATCGTCCAAATTACAAAGTATATTTCGGAAAAAAATCGGAGTGCGAGGCTAATAGCTTAACTGGCTAGGAATCGCGCAATGACGGTTGGCTTCCAGTATCGAGGGATGAGTGCTTTGGCTAGTAATTTTGGGGAGTTATCTACCGCTATGGATACATAATGACAGAACGAGAATACTGGTCATCTCTCTGAAATCTGTGTAGAGCTTTCCCTCAAAAGGGCAACAAAACAAGTGAGTGTCCTGTTTCCTATCACATATAGTTTGTTAAATATACCATTACCTTCTGGATGATATGGGTGCCAGTGTCAGTTGGTAATTCCAAGAGAAGAATGTTAAATGTCTGAGTAGTTCAAATGGAAGAGAAATTCTTAATATAGAACGAATCTCTACAATAATATGTCGGGATAACAACTATCCTAGAAGCAATCATACAGTCGCCACAAAATAAATTGCTATACGTTTGTTAAGTCTAAGAAGGCCATACTGGTCTGGGGAACATACTGTTTCTTAAAGTTGAGAAAAAAATTCAGAAATTAATAGATTAAAAACATTGTCATCATGATGCATTGAATTTCTCAATTTGAGCATCAGAATGTTTTAAAAGTTTCGGTACAATGTGCTAAATTCAGTGGCAAGGTTGTTAATGCTTGTTGTCTGAAAATTTCACGTATGTAGGATAGTGGCGTTTTACTGTATTTAAACTACTGGAAATTTGTTTGTGACTGTATCTTTTCACACGAAGGTGGGAAATTATTGCGCATTCAATTTGGAAATATATAAGCTGTGCTCTAAAATGAATAATATATTGTCATGTATGTAAACTTGCTTCTTAACTTTTTATTTTGTCTTTTATATATGCTGTTTATTGGACAATAGTTGAATTTCTCATCCATCAAAAGGCTTACTATAGTCAAATTACATCTTTTCTATTCTTTTCAGACATACTATGCTTCTGCGTATCATCGGGAATCCTTTTTATTCTCTCAGGCTAATTGCTAATAGAAAATATACTTCATCAGCTAAAATTCCCGAATATTTGTTGGACAGAACTGTGAAACCTGAAGAAGTTTTGGATCGTCTTACTCCATATGATGCCGAAAGACTTGAATTTTGTATGACGGAATACCGTACTATGCTTGAACAAGGTGCTAGTGTTCCCAAGTCTCTGAGCAAAAAAAACATTTTGGACTTGTTGTGCTGCACCAGCTTTACATCCCGAGCTAACTTTCTGAAATTCCTGTTCAAGTGTGAAAAGCGCGAGGAAAACGCCTTACGTAAAAAGGCAGAAAAGGTATGCAAACACTGGGTCCTCCTGAGTCATGGAAATTTTTCAATCTTTTTAAATTATTGATGTAAGGATAATACTTGGGCACTGTGGTACCGTATAATTCCATTATGGATGAAATTTTATTTTGATTATATGAGTACTCATGTACATAAACGAAGGACGAAAGTTATGTGAATACCTTGATATGATTATAAGCAATAAATTGTGCTCAAAATGTCATCAGTAAATATTGCTATATAACACTATGTGATTTTATCAAATTATTTTATCCATAATGGAATTCTACTTATATTCTTATACATTTCATTATTTTCGGTCGGTTGGTTTTCGACATAGATCTTTGCACATATGTGCGGCAGTTCAAGTCGCCACACTCCATGTAGCACACAAAGGAAGAGAAGAAAGTAGGAGAAATGCATAATATAGACAGTAAACAGAGGTGTGAGACAAAGGAGTAGTAATAACGAAGAACAAAACAGTTTCATTGGAAATCATAAGTCACAAGGAGTGGATACATCTACGCCACTGAGAACGATTTCGAGCCATGTCACCAATTGTTTCCAGCCATTGGTTTATACTGTCCCGAGGACTCCAACCAGGAAGTCTACACCTTCCTACGTGGCTTAGAATAACTGTTGTGGATTTCATTGACTGGTGCCATGTTTTCGTTTGACCGCCGCTAGCTCTTTTCCAGCCTGGCCCTATATCAGCTAACATTGCTCGTCGAGGAAGGCGATGGCTAGGCATACATAAAACATGTCCTAACCATCTCAGTCGATGTAATTTCACAGTCTCGTCGACTGATTTCCCCTCCCACCTACCTAGCACTCGACGCCTAACCTCAATATTGCTCACCTTATCATACCACTTCACACGGGAGATAGAACACAGACACCTATGATCGAAGACAGATAGTCTTTTCATGTCTTCCGCTCTCAATGGCCAGGTTTCACAGCCATAAAGGAGGACGGAGCGGACTGTTGAGCAGTACACACGCCCTTTGGTCGATAGTCGGATATCACGTCTACGCCAGAGACGGCGCAAACTGGCATATGCGAACCTAGCCCTCTGTATTCGTGCTGAGATTTCGTCAGAGATCAACCCGTTGGGGCTGATGGTACTTCCCAAGTAAGTGAAGCGGTCAACGAGCTCTACCACTTCACTTCCTATTTCTAATCTAGGGGTCGGTGTAGTCCAATCCTGCATCATCATCTTACATTTTACAGGGGCGAATCGCATGCCAAACATACGAAGATTGTTTGCTCAAGGTGTTCATTAGACTCTGCATTTTGTCAGCGTCCTCGCCTAGAAGAACTATATCGTCCGTATATTCTAAGTCAACGAGATTATTCCCTGGTACCAAGTCAATCCCTGAGTCGCTGAAGTGTGCTAGGGTTAAGTCCATTAGTACGTCTATGATGAAGTTGAATAGGAATGGGGATAATGGGCATCCTTGACGGACGCCACTAGTCGTCACCACTTCAGATGACAACTCGCCATAAGCCCTCACCTGGCTGCATGAGTACGAGTACAGTGCCTTAGTCAGTGCAATGTATTTTCTCGGCATTCCCTTTACAGCCAAGCATCGCCAGAAAACCTCTCGGTCGACAGAATCGAATGCCGCATTTAGGTCAAGAAATATAATGATTGTTGGACGCCGATAGGAATGCCTATGTTCTAGAATCTGTCGAAGGGTGAAGATCTGATCAATACACCCTCTTCCTGGTCTAAAGCCTCTCTGGTTCTCTCGTGTTTGTTCCTCCCGTGGACCGCTTAGTCTACGCATTATTATTGAGCCTAGGATTTTAGATACTATATTAGTCAAGCTAATCCCTCTGTGATTATCACAAGAAGACTTGTCTCCCTTCTTGTATATCGGGATGATCAGTGACTTACACCAACCCGATGGGACTTCCTCTGATTCCCAGACGCTGCCTAGAACCTCAGTTAATGCAGACAGTGAACTGTCTCCACCGTACTTATATACCTCTGGAGTCATTCCATCAGGTTCCGCTGCTTTGCCTTGCTTCAGATTAGTGACAGCTTTAGTAACCTCAGTTAAGGAAGGAGGACCTGTGTCTATACCCCATTCACGGAGGTGTTGGATATTCGGCAGGTTAAGTGTGGCTGTAGGCCAATTAAACTGCTCCTCATAGTGTTCTTTCCAGCGCTCCAGTCGTCTATCCTGGGAGCTAATTATGGTGCCATTTTTCTCCGAGATTGTTTCGCTAATAATTTGCCTTTTACCACCTGTTTCCCTGATAAGCCTGAATAGTTGTCTGGCGTTGCCAATCGCCGATGCCTTTTCCATCTCTTTAATTATTTTAGTTTTCTAATCAAATGTGTATTCAGACAAGAGGTCTCAATTTATTATAAAAATGTGTTGACGTCCTGATTAGTCAACTGGGGTAGTTCATTCGCATTATGTAGCATGAATACGTTTACAATAAACTGCACAGCAGAAGTGTGACTTCGAATAAACGAATTTATATATATATATATATATATATATGCATGCTTTACAGAGAATTCGAGTTATATATGTTAGCGGAATTATCAGTCTCAGACTGAAACATTTCGATTTAGATGTTTTTTTTTGTTTTTAGGCGTCTTTATATACCGTGAATGACAATATATTGTATTTTATATGATAAGGTCGCGCCTATAATTCCGAAGAAACCTGCATCTTCTGACCGTATTTTGCGCATGATTGATGAAAAATACGTTCGTTTACACTGGGATTTTTGGCAAGCATCTGAAATTCGATGTCCGGATTCCGCTCAGAACCTACTGTTTGATTTTTCTTATGAATCTGAGATGAGGCTGGTTGATATAAAATCTCTTGCTAATCAAATGACGTATGTAGTAAACAGAAATCGTATAATGCGACCGCATCCATTTCACATGGTACTTTGCGGTTTAAAACAGGGGACAAACCAGTTCGCCTTTATGGAAGAAGCTTTCGGCGTAAATGCTAAGGTTTGTTTTTTTAATGGGCGATTGGTGTTAAAACGCTTTATTATTTGCTTATTCTCTTACTTACTGCTGTATAGTTAGCCTCTTTGACGGCATCCTGTCTATTTTTTACCTCCATGTTTTTTAATACAGGCGAGATTGATAAAAGTCAATTGCCCTTTGTTGTTAAAGTGATTTTGGAATAATCGTTATATTTTGTGTATTCCACGTTGCATTTGATCAAAAGCAACTTTCAGAGCAGCCCCTTTGTACTGACTTTGATAATTATTTTCCACCCGGACTGAACATTTAGTGTCTGATTATATTTGGGCTTAGTATAAAACAAAACAAGTGGATCAGCAAAAAGTTTGTATTCTAAAATTTCATTTTCTTTAGTTGTACAGTTTTTTCTCAAAATAGTATGGTAACGAATTGTCATAAGCATAGTTGCTAATATTAACCAAGAAGTTAAATGAAGGTTGTATAGTTACGTGATTACGTCAATTATTTGGTGAATTACTACTCATCACGGTCAGCTACTAGATCTTGTCGTTCAGACCTCTTAAAACGATTGGGTGATTAGAGAACACCACTTTTAAGGTTACTGTAAAGAATTTCCTATAAGATGTTGAAATTCTTCCCTTGCGAATATCACACTTTAGGTCGCTCATAAAGTCTAGATCTTCTGATATAAATCATTTAAAATGAATAGCTACCAGGATTTATTGAAAAGAACATCACACCAAAAGTTCAGAGACATAAGATATTTGTGCCCAAAAGAATTTCTACATTAACCTTGTTTTCAGGTGTGACCCAACTTATGATATCCCCAAGAGAGAAATCCCAACATTTTTGAGAACATTGTTTACAGCAACCTTAAGAGTAGTGTCCGCTGCTATATTCAGAAAGGCCATTTCCATTTTTATGTTTCTTTAATCGTTTTTAGAAGTAAAGTATGAACTATTGACATAAGTATAAAACTTGGGCACTGTGGTAGAGTATAACTCCATTAAAGATAAGATTTTTATTACAGTTAATACTACTGTACAATACTGTGTGATTTATCAAAATAAAATCTTATCTTTAATAAAGTATGAACTGACTAAATGCATCACAATAGAGAGATCCTCGCATTTTATATGTTCTTCGAAGTCACAGATCAATCTAATTTTTTTAGGAGAACAGTAAAGGTTGGCTAGGGCTGATGGTTTTCTTGATTTAGACAATTTATGGGTGCTAATCATCTGTCAGCTTAAATGTACTGTAAGTTGTTACAACTCGAATTACTACGTTGTACACTGAAATATTTCTTATTCATTTACCTAAATAACTCCTCCGACTCTGTTATAGATACCCTAGTATTTTAATTATCCTTGGGGATTTCGTTTTCCCTTTGTAGGTAAAGTGCTTAAAATTCTATGGTTTTAGGTTATTTTAAACAAGAAAATCGTTCAAAGATTAAACTGTCTTCTCACTGGGATATCATACTTCTTTTTTTCATATAGACGTTGCTTTAAATCCTGCATTTCATTACCTATGGGCTGTTTAAACATTAAAATCAGGAAAGGAATTTCTCCAACAAGATTTTATGTGTAAAAGGTTTTTGGAATAACGTGTGTATTATTTCTTGGTCGACCTTAGTTGGTCTACGTCCCTACCATATTAGATAGTCTGTGTTCTTGTCTTCACTGGTTTTTCAGTTACGTAGAGTACGTTTATGCTACTGGTATTCTTTCTGTTACATTCTGTTCGCACACCTTTTATACTTATTTTTCAATTTCATTTCCATTTCTCTTAAAATGTAGGGATCAAGTGTTGAAAGCCTTTATAGTCTTCCTTGGTCAATTACTCCTGATCACTTTTCAAAAGCATTTCCCATACATAGTCAGGAGCAGCCTGTGATATTATTATCACCAAACGCTCGCCGTACTTTCGAAGCTGGAGAATATGATCATACTGCAGCCTACGTAATTGGTGCAGTAGTTGATAAGGCCATTCGAAGGCCAATATCTTCTGCAATAGCAAGACAGCTAGGTGAGTGTCCTAAGTACAACTTTTAATCACTAAAGTCTAGGTGAATATATATATATATATATATATATATATATATAATTAAAACTTGATCCTTCACAATCCCGTGAGCACTCACATTTGTATTCATCCATCCTCCTATAAATGAGCTAGTACGGTTGGGGGGTGGACTCTAGTCTTGCTATCAACACTCTGTTATGTGGTCGTGTTCGTAATATATACCGGGAAAGTCCGCTTCGTTACCTTCGCGCAGCGGCGTGTTCTCGAAAAAGTAAAAGAGTGGTTACAAATGTTTACCTGTAAAACCTCGACTCCAAACCTATGCTGTACATGACCCTGAAATCCGAAATAATCAAATGGATTATGAAGTTGTTTTGGTTATAGGCAACCATGGGAACTTATCTCCCAAAGCTGCCTTGCTACCAGACCTCAAGTCAAATGCTCGAGGATGTGGCCCCTAAAGACAACCACCTGCTTTGGCCTGTTCATCTGTGTGGCATCTTAGCCGTTGCATAAATCATGGAACTATCAAGGAAAAACGCTACTAGCATGTACAGTATCACAGATTATCTCGTTAATCACATATCGAGCAACTTTTTCATTTTATATTTCGTACATAAATGGGTTTGTTTTTATCACCTTTACATCTTTCAGTATCTACTTTCGTCAGCCGTTCGCAGTTGTTAAAAATCTCAGTCTATCCGTACCGCTTTTGGGTTTCCAGTATGTTACTTTCAGAATGTTGGCCTTCAGTGAGATATCTAACACGGCTATTATGGCATGGCATGTCGCATTCAAGTTTCTCACCTACAATGAGCCAAACTAGACAACAACCGTGTTTAGCAAAAACTCTGGGAAGCCTTGCTATCAATATACGTTACATCACCACTACCTGTGAAGTACTTCAAATATCCTTTCCATCTTCAAGTTCGAATAGTGTGTATCATAGGAGAGTTGTCTGTTGGTCATCTTTGACTATGCAACTATGAATTTCAGCCCGGATTCAGTCAAGAATGATTTCTCCTATTAACTGGATAAGCGCCTGAAGCATGCAGGTCCGACATATCGTATTGCTATCTGTAGACTTAAATGTGTGACTTGGTGTCTAGGTTCAAAGGAGAGTCGTTCAGGTGGTTAGTGACGACTAAGTCGTCACGAGTCAGATAGTTGGAAATGTCCTCTGCAGCTATATTCACACCGTAACCTTTTTCTATCCATCACCGACTTTTGGCACAGCCGTCACCGTAGTATTAGCTAGTGTCTTTACTCTGTCATCCAAACGTGGACTCAAACGCATCTTACTCTTATCAACTACCAGTTTCAAAGGTGCATAGAGGACTGCCACAATTGAAGCACTTGTCCGTATTCTGATCACACTTTAGTATGTGCCAGGTCTATCTGGGAATTTCGTGATCATAAAAATAGTCCTCAACAGGCTGAAGTGAATAAGCGCGTGGCTCCTGATACTTCTTCGAAGTGTTAACCCAAGCTAGACTCAAAGCTAGCTACTAACATTCCCAGCAACCCCACGGGTTGCCCAAACCAACTTGTCTATATTAACAAGACAATGCAATTAAAATGAAATGGTGAGTAAAGCGGCTTGCTGCTTGGAAAGTTTCACTATAAACCACTAGGTTTCTGCAAGTTCCTTGCGACTTCTTTGACAACTGTCTGTCCACTCCGACAAACAGCGAGTATAACGACTTGAATAAGGCTGTTACGTATACAATAAAACGACGCCTACGTATGTACCGCGAAGCATATTGGTCGAAACATGTTTGTGGGGAGGAGTCATCAGCTGCATCTGGTAATAGTAGGAAGCCGTTCCAGGTCATTCGATCCACCTGTAACAAGAAGCATGGTGTCATCAAGGCGATCGGTAGGGCTGATGGTACGCTGATTAATAAACTGGAGAGAAGATTGGAACCCTGGGCAGAACATTTAGATAAACAGTTTAGTCTATCCATAGTGCAGGTATTGAACATCATTAATTACGGTGCATTGTGGAAGGTGAATACCAATTCACCAAAAGAAATGGAGATCTGAAAACAACTCGAAGCTCTCAAGGCCCATAAGGAATTCCGTCCAGATGACCTACTCTCGGCTTTTCTGAAAGGTGGTGGTGAGACTGTAGTCAGGAAACCTACTGGATTGTTCAAGAATGCATCGGAAAGTGAGGATGTTCCATCAATGAGTACTGGATTTTATCGTGACTATCTTTAGAAAGAACCTACATAACGTTTATAACAACCACTGCAATATTATTTTGTGATGGTGTATACCGGCTGCCTTAAAAATGACTTCTTACTTCGAGAATGCAGATGGCGTCATTTTACTGTGCGATAATACACAGATTACATAAATCGCACCTAGCCAGCTAGCCATCAGTGTCTGTATGTATGGCATATACTTTGCTGCATCGAGATGCAAAGTATTGCCGTAAGATTGATAGGTGCCAACCCGAGCCGCCTCGTGTGCTGTCACGACCTTAGCCTGATCGCCAGAGGCCGAGTTTAAAATGCTTCGGTGCACACAATCTTGCTCTTTGTGCACGTGAAACCTAAGTCCTCCAATCTGAGGATGTGGAGTGATTCTGCATATTCGATCGTCGCTGTCTCCATAGGGTTTCTTGCACCCCGAAGCACTATCGTGTGAGGTCTGGCGGTGTTTGTTTGAACAAGGTAGAGGACGTGTTTCAATAAGTGTTATCATCGTAAAACACCTGTTTCGGTTTCTCAAACCTGATTTACAAGTGTCACTCCAACAGCCCCCATATTGTTCATCTATTTGCTAACCCTGGCAATATGTGGTAAAATGGGAGGTATTCGGAGTAGTGGTGTTCGAGCAGCATGATCTTCTTGTTTTAGCCCAGTTAACTATTAGTACCGATAGTTATGCAAAACAAAATAATATAAAAGCAATATATGAGCAGAAAGAAATGCGATAGCTATGGAATAAAAGAACCAATAATTAAACAATCTATGTTGTTTTGGAATTGAATTAAGAGTTTACTTCAGAACGTCGACATAATTCTTTCATATCTTATGTTCAGTATTTGTTGGCACTTGCTTATAGTGTTCTTGTGACGTTGAAATAGCTATTTGACGGTGTGAAGTTATCCTGTTTTGATGTTATTATCAAGACTCGCAGTGCAAATTAGGCATAAAAGCTAATTATTTAAACAGCTCTAGTTTCAGGTTATGTTATTTTAGGTAATGAAATTTTAGTCAACCTAACTCACTGAATATCATGAAATTCCTCACTAACTAAACTTTAAAAGTATCTGTTATTTTAACTTTTTGACTAGAATTACAGGAATAAATGACATAACCTTTGCGATGCCAGTTACTTCAGTAAAAACCATTGAACAAAGGCGCAAAGCACCTCCCCCCAATTGTTATATATTTGTTAACTTATCAACCGCTATCCTTAGTATAACTCGGCTGACAGTCTCTTAGTATGTGACTGTCGCTTAAGTATCATTCTCCTATTATGTACTAGTTCCATGCCTATCCATTTGCGTGATTGAAGATATATAATTTACACTAAGAGCTTTGTATTATGTTAGTTTTGAGGAGATTTTTATGTCTGTCAACTTCTGAAATATTCCATGGAGATTAACTGAGTATTTGTATTTGTATTATTGGTTTCTCTGTCAAACACCCACAAACTTGTTTCGAATTAGGCATATCTAATATGCTAAAAGATGGGGGTAAGTATTCTTTTTTAGTTTACACTTACCAAGTTTTCTGACTTGTGTACGGACTTAATTCTCTTATAATGGTTCTGTCCTACTTTTATATTCCAATGTATTCATTATAATGAATTTGTATAGCTTTTCACTGTTTGATATATTTACGCTGAGACAAACTAACCTAGAGCCCTACTCAAAAGCCTATCATTTCACGTTGTAAGTGGTAAATTAAACTGACTCCTATTGAGTAACGGAATTCATTTCACTTTGGTGTTAAAATTAAGTTCAGTTCGCAAGTGGATTCACCTAGTTTTCTCTTTTGAAAAGTATAATTTGTATACCTCACACCACCAAATTTACCATAGTGTCACATAGCTTCTGTGCAAAAGTTCTCAAACGTACGTATACGTTTGCGAAGCAATGCACGAAAGTAATTCACTGTCATTTTAGCAGTTGACTGACCTCTGTTCTTCCACACTTTCTTGTCTACTTCTAGGCATCAAATGTGTCAGTTTACCTCTGGATCGCTATTTGAAATGGGGAAGTGGCAAAAGCAAAACACTGTCCATAAACTGTATACATGGGATAATGGCTACAGCAAAGGAAACTAATGGAGATTGGAGGACAGCTCTAATTGAAAATATTCCTACTCGGTTCTACTCTTCACCATCAAAGACAAAATCTTCTTTAATTTATAGAAATTTATAAGATTGTTATTCTGGTATTCATATTTGTATATCATTCAGTCATACAAACTGTTTAAAAAGTGAAAATCAGTTTTTCTACATTAGGACGGTCTTTTGCTTGGAAGGGTGGCAAAAGCTTTCGCCTAATTGTTTGTTGAGTAGTGATTTTTGTCTTATGCTACCTTTCATAAATAACATTTTGGGAGACCTGAAACTTAATGTAAATAGATATATGTGTGCAAAACGCAGGTACAGTGATATTAACTCATCAGGTTGTTTTCATTTATGTACTCTAATCATACCTGAGCACTCGGCGAACATAATGCAGACATTACATCAGAAGGTAATTGAGGTCTTTATAAAAACCATACTCTTGTTCAAGCTATTTACAAACACAAACTTATCATGGGAACCTTATGAATGTCTTATTGTAGTACTGGATGAAGTACTTTTAAGAGCCCTCCGGGAAAAACTGGCACGTCAAATGGTAGGTAGTTTCCAGTCTTCTTAAAATGTCCTCAATTGTAATATCCCCCTAGCCTCCGTCAGCTAAGTGCTTCCCATCCTGTTTTCACTGAGCACTGACGTGTGCTTACGAAAGTAAGAAAGCAGGAATGTAACTCCTTAAGGAGCACCGTTTCTATGCCTATAGCTAAACATCCATTTTTTAATATTAAAACGGATGACATAAGAATAAAACTTGGGCGCTATGGTAGAGTTGTAGTGACCCGTTTTATTACTCATAATCGTACTATACTTTCATTGTGTAATTGTACTTTCATTTATTTATCACTCTAAATCTTGCATGTTAACAATTGATACTTTTTGTACTCGCTCGATTTTTGAATTGTTGATTGCTGCAACAATACACTATCGTATTCCTTCGCAAGTGCCTTTTGAATTACGTTGCGGATGTCGAGTAATCGCAACGTTAGGGCACAATTGTAAACGCGAGGAAGTATTAGGATATGTGTATACGCTAGTTCAATCAAAATATCGCAGCAACAGAGTATAATTCCATTATGGATACAATTTTGTTTTGATAAATTCACACAGTGTTATGCAGTAATACTCATTGATGTCCTTTCGAGCACAATTGACACACAATAGGGTGGGACAGAGTCAAAATTCTAAAGAGTAATATAGGTAAGTGGAGATAGAGAGAGATTGATTACTGAATCCTGGTTCATCGAGTCTGCACCCAACATATGCAATAGAAGTGACTCAATGCAAATACCAGAGATATGGAAGTTATTGTTACCATTCAAATCAGAGAATAATAAATGATTTTAAAATATTCAAATGAACTGTCGTCAAGATTTGACAGAATAGTTTAAAATATTTGGGCGCCGAGTGAGAAGTAGACATTTGTAAAAAATTATATTTGTAAAGTCTTAGCGAGATTGAAATTAAATTAACAAAGAAACTGTGTAACTGGCACAATCATCGTGTTTTCACTCTCCGTTGTCTGCAACAGAATGCATATCCTAAATCCGTTGCTGTCGAGTCACCTGACAACTCCAGTAGGTCGAATAAAGCAGCTTAATCTTCAGAAAGAAGACAAAGCAATAAGTCCGACAGGATGCTTCTACTAAACGCTAATCCTAAACACCATAATTTTGAAAATACGTCTAATCATAAAATTCTAGATACTAATAGTTTGAACAGACATGATGGCGTGATGTTAGATGATGCATAGGAAATCCTTATTAATAAATAAAAATGGATATGTATCTCTAATTATTAATACTTGGTCAAAATTCTCGACTGTCCATATCTTCTTATGGAAATGTTTTACAACTGTTTACCCGCACACACATACACACTCTGTTTAAAGTGTTTAACAAAGGTAGACCAATATTTGTAAGTCCGAGGTCAAATTTTGATCACAGCTCATAAAATTTTGTTTACTATACTTGTTGATACTTTTTGAATGACTCATGATTGGAAAAATTTTTAAAAACAAGTGATGTTCCTTTTATATATAAACCTCTGTTATGTTAATTCGTATTAATTTCCCTGAAGAAGTTCGGACCAGATTGCCGAACGAAACGTTGGAATTACTCATTTCAATCTCGCTGAGATTCTGCAAATATAATTTTTTACAAAGATTTTAAAATATATTACAATTTACATTATAACCTTCTAAGAAGTTATTTATTTTACTGTAAAAACATCTTGTTTCCCATCTTATTGACTAACTACACTTGTCTTACTCCTCATCCTATTGCATTTTATTGATAATGCTAATATTCGTTCAGAATGTACTTTATCTTCCGTTCTGTTTCACGCAAGTCTTCTATTGATTTTATTCAAATGTCTGATTAACTTTTACTCATTTATATAAACGAAACAAGAAAGTTATGTGAGTACCTTGATATGGTTATGAGCAGTGATAAATTGTGCTCGAAACGTCATAAGTAAATATTGCTGTATAACACTATGTGATTTTATCGAAATGAAATTTTATCTATAATGGAAAGGGGATGACAGATAATAACGAGTGGTCATATGGTGAACTGCAAACATTTTCCTTATGACAAGCATATGTTTTCATTTGTGGGAATTCTATTCTCACCACCCCGTTTGGTTCGTTTTAATTATTTCTTCTTCATATCTTAAGTCATCATTAGCGAATTATAATCTAAATTCGTCTCACCTCACTCATGACAAGTAAATATTATCATCTGTAGAATACACATTAACCATATCCTATTTGTTCTAATATAATTTTTGTTTTCAATAGTGGGCTAGTCATAAGTTAACTGTCATTCTGAAATGGCTTGTGATAAGAGTTACTGAAAAGTCTCATCGACCAATGAAAGCATCCATTGTAGTATCTCACGGGAAGGATGCACAAATGTATATTAGCAGTGGGACATCATCAATATCCAATTAGTAATATTGATGATTGTCGTAATATTTTTTTATCCAGAGATCATTTAACTACCATTACCCAATTATTCGAACATCAAAAGTGCGCTTATTACACTTCTTCTAAACAGATATTCCGAAATTTGAAAAACAAATCCGAACACTGCATACTCCATAGCAAATAAATCGAATATACAGACAGACGCGAGAACAGTATGCAACTTATTGGATAGCGAACTCAATGTACATGAATTGGCATTACTTCAGAAAGGACTAAACTTCAACATAACTTGAAAACCACTGAAAGCGATAGAAACAGCTCTGATCATGGAACCTGTATTAACCCTTTTACCTGGTGATGAATTGCGCCAGAAGGTTGGATGTATCCTGTCGAATCAAAAGCAGGTTATCTCAAATTTGTCGAAGAAAGAAAGTCACGCATTACAAACATTAAGATCAGACAAGTCTGTTGCCATAAATAGAGCTGACAAGAGCAATATCACTGATTCTCAATAAAGATGACTATGGGAAAAAATCTTTAGAACATATCGAAGTAGGTCCATACGCACTAGTACCAATAAACAAAGTGTCTAGTACTATGAACAAAGTTAAAGCACAACTATTTAATCTATTTAGAGAACTGAAACCAAACTAGGGAATTCAGTTTGGTTATCAACAGCTCCCGAAACAAACTCGGTCGCGAGATTTTATGGAATGCCGAAAATCCACAAAATAGACGTTTCTTTAAGACAAATAATTGATTTTACCAATTCAATAACATACACTCTATCTAAATATACATCAAGAATACTGAAACCACTTCAATACAATATTCCTTTAAACATTAAAAATCTTAAGGAGTTTAAAAGAAATGTAATGGACATATTAAAGAAGACGAAATTATGGCGCGTTTTGATGTGGTTTCTCTATTTACTAGTATTCCTATATGTGATTCACTTGATATTATGAAATATAAACTTGAAAAATATTAGCTAAATCATCATTATCAATAGAAGACGCTATACGATGTTTAAAACTTTGTTTAGAATCTACCTAATTTACCTTTAAAGACCAACTATACTGTCACACAAATAGAGTTGCAATAAGGTCACCAGCATCTAAAATTGTAGCAAGTCTGTATATGGAAGCTCTGGAAGGAAAAGCACTGACAAGTTTTGATTGTCATCCTAGAATATAGTACAGATATGCAGATGACACATTTATCATCATTAAGAAGGCTGAAAAAGAAAACTTTCCAACACAGATTGACTTAATCTCAAAAGATGCAGAGTTTACCAATGAAGAAGAATCGGATGAGAGAACCCTAAATCTCGATTGTCTTGTAAAAAGACAAACTGACGAGGAACCAAAGTTCACAATATACAGGAAACCGACACATTCCAACAAGTATTTGCATTCCTTTATGGACAAGATTTTATTTTGATAAATCACACCGTGTTATGCATTTTTATTAACTAATGACGTTTCGAGCACAAACTATTGCTCATAATCATACCAAGTTACTCACACAACTTTTTTCCTTTATTTATATACATGAGTGGAATTGACTAGATATTTGAATAAAAATCAATATGGGATAATGTACATTCAGAAATAATAATAATAATACTATGAGTGTTATTGATCAATTACAATCAGATGGGAAATAAGATGAACAAAATTCGCAAAACATCGGAATTTTAACACTCGATGTTTAAGAAATCATATAATTCCAAAATATTTACGCTTACGTACTCCAATTACTTCAAGAAAAATAACATCAGCAGCCGAACATGTCAGTAGATTATATCTAAGAGAAGAGCTACATCGAATTACTGTGAAACTAAATAATATACGGAATGAAATTGAAAAACACAAACTCAAATGTATAGTCAATGACAGAGATTATGTAATTTTTGTTGAAACATCCAAAAAAGATAGAGTATCAGCATTAAGAAAATCAAAAACCACACAAATCAAAAATTTCAACAAACTAATGGAAGAAAAGAACACAATGAATGAAACTGACGTCAACGTTCAATCCTTTATTGACAGAAGAAATTGGGTGATAAACATCTCATCAAGGGAACTAAGCTCTAGTGAGATAAAAGTACTTGATAAAGGACTAAATTTCAATGTAAAACCAGAGGATGTCATTCCTAACATAGAAGTAGCACTAAGCTCAATAGATAAGACGACAGCAGAAGACGTCCGAGCACAATGTGCATTAACCCTGAAAAATCAAAAGAAGGCATAATCAAACTTAGGAACATCGGAAAGAGTAGCTCTAATCAGTCTTAAACAGGATAAAAGCATTGTCATCGCAAAAGCTGACAAAGGAAACTCTACAGTAGTTTTGAATAAATCTGACTACATCAAGAAAGTCACTGAACATATTGAGATGGGTCCTTATGAGGAAATTCAGAAGCCTGTAGATACAATAATGAATAAGGTTAAGAAATTCTTTTGAGGAATTAATACGCATAATGAAGCCGTCACTGGGTGAGTCTAAATGGTTTAATTTAATGCCTAAAACTAATAATGCTAGTAGAAGGTATGGTACTATTAAAATACATAAGCCAGGTTACCCCATACGACCAATAGTAGATTTCAGGAATACCCCTACTTATGAATTATCAAAACACTTAGCTCTAATATTATGCCCCATTAGAAATCGTTCAAACTCTAGATTAAGTAATTCATATGAGATGAAAAAGAAACTAAATGACATTCAACTAGCGAATAATGAAACGATGGTTAGTTTTGATATAACTGGTCTTTATACTAATACACCGGTCAATATGGCCTTAGAAGCAGTTAAAAAAGAACTAACTGCAGATCCTGAGCTCACTTATAGGACAAAGCTGTCCATTGAAGAAATTATTTTAGGGATTCAGTTATACCTCACATCTACAATCTTTAAATTCCAGAGCAAAATATATAGACAAACAGAAGGTGTAGCAATGGGATCACCAATATCCCTTATCATAGCAGACATATTTATGGACAGCTGGGAAATTAGTGCTCTAAATACATTTAATCCTACTCCAAAAATATGGTGGAGATATGTGGATGACAC